CACTAAAAACCACTTCACTGACATCTGTATCTGTTTTGTTCTCCCTTACTGCTTCCGAACCGAAACACAGCTGAAAAACATCTTTTAGCAGGCAGGCTGATGCATTCTGGTCACCATTGTGGCACAGCACACAAAAGGTCACAGTGGCAACAGTGGCAGTGGACAGGAAGTGCCAGCCCACCGGTGACCAGGGGAGTACTAAACGATAATTATTTCATTGGTGTCACTATAGGATTCTGACAATGGGCAACTAGGGGGAATTACACATTTCCAGTCAAATGTAGGTAAAGAAAAGTATCAAGTGCAAAGAAACAAATACTTAACACATCAACTTTCATTTCAATCCACAAAAATGCCTCCTGCAATTTTGTTTTTATTTTTTACAAGCTTGGTGGATCTAAGTCTAGAACTATGAGGTGAGTGAAAATCACTCATCCTCATAGTTCGAGCCGACGTGTGACAATGAGACTGTCACATGTCGGCTCAATAGATCGGGAAGTGAGCGAACACATACCGTCGCTCGCTCACTTCCCAATCATCTCCCTACAGAGAGCGTGACTGTCAGTCACGGCTCCCTGCAGGGATTCCCCTCCCGCTCCGATCCTCCAGCTCTGACAGGAGGAACGGACGGGGAGGGGGCGGGTACAGTTGGCTCTGCTTCTAGATATGTAGCGCCAGCTGTCACTCACGCAGCTGGGTGGATCTTGAGACCCCATTCACACTGAGCGATTTATCGCGCTATATCGCTATCCAATGCATCTCAATGGGGCTCTGTCCATCGCTGTCGCGGGTCGTGCGTCGCTACAGCAGGACCCTTTTTGGAGCGGATTTTGCCGCGATTCTAGCTTGCTCAATGCAAGCATTTGCGCAATATCGCGCAAAATGTAAATCGTGCGACAAACGCGCGATTTGCGAATCGCTCAGTGTGAATGGGGCCTGAAAGTAATGTTGGGATCCGTCCCGGCTGCGGCGGTCTCAGTATACCGTGAGCTGTAGCTCGCTATATACTGAGCTTTGGGTCAAGGGAGGACGCTAGTATATGTCCTCCCGTGACCCGAAGAGAACTATCGGGAAAAACTTACCCCATAGTTCTATTTTAAGCTGTTGCTCGCACAGTGACGTTTTTTTTTACCACAAATGGTCAGAATTTACAAAACACACAGCAAGCTAAGTGCCCATTCACACTGAGCGTTTAATCGCGCGATTTCTGCCACGATATCGCGCAAATTTGCCACACGATATCGCAAGAAGTAACTTGACCAATGATTTTTAATGGAGCTGTTCTATTCTACAGCTCCATGTCGCCTGTCGCGCGTCGCTTGTGCAGGACCCTTTTTCCCGCGGATGTCGCGCGATTTTTCTATTTTTGCGGTTAGGTCACACTATCCCGGCCGTGCGGAAATCCGCTCGAGGTAAGTGTCGCTCAGTGTGAATGGGGCCTTAGAGTAAATGTATCTCAACCTCTGCAGATGGCACTCTCAAGCACTGCTTTGCATGTTTTAATCGCTTCATATCAGTTTAATCAACTCCCTAGTAGACTGTCTCCTACGTTCACACCATATGCGTGTGCTGGTGTGCAGAAAAACGCAGCTCAACAGATATGGTGTGAACATCCCTAGGAGCCATGTCGGGCAAACCATTCTGTGAAGTGTTACCCATAAATCTTGCAGGGCTTAGACATGAAGTAAGGATTAGTTCACACTTTTCCACTGTGGTGCGTTAATGCATGTGGTAATGGTAACCTGGTTAAAGGTTAGTGCTTTGTGGTGCCGTTAACCACCTGCTGTCTGGCCGTTGTAATTAAAACGGCCGGACAGCGGCTTCTTGAATGCGGGTGGGCGTTTTGAAATGTCCCATCCCGCCCCGCTCGTGCACGAACAGGAAGTCGGCTTTGAATGTAAACAGCCAGCGATGGCTGTTTACATACAAGCGTTCAGGCGTCTGTAGAGACGCCTGATCGCTTGTAATGTGCGTGCGGGTGTGCACCCCCCCCTCCGTCGCAGCTGGCGATCCCGAGCTCTGCAGTTCGTGGAGTGAGCCCGGGACCAGCACAGCAGCTCTGCGGCCGGAGAGCAAACGGCATTCAGTACACGAGCTCCGTTTGATCTCCTCCTCCTCTTCGGAATGCAGGCAGTGATGTGTATTACATCACTTCCGTCACTCTCCGGTACAGAAACCGGAGAGAAGCTGGTGAAGCAGGTGTTTGCTTCATCAGCTTCTCTGGGGGTCCCTAGGTGACATTAGGGGTCTTAAAGAGCCCTGATGTCTCCATAAAGAGGACCTGAAACTGCAAATTGGCTATCACATAGGGAGCTTGTTTGCTCACTATGTGATAGCAATAAAGTTAAGTGGAAAAAAAAAGGTTTAAAAAAATAAAAAGTAAAAAATAAAAAGTCACATATCAAAGCAATAAAAAAAATGAAAGTCCCCCGCCCCCACATGCACACACAAACATGCGTTGAGTCCGCCTACGTGTAAAAACGACATTTACATCCATTGCACCGCACATGTTACATATTGCCGCGAACGTCGGAGTGAGAGCAATAATTCTAGGCCCATCAATCACTGATAACACTAAACTGATGAGCTGTAAAAGCTTTTAAAGTGCCGGCTATGGTCAATTTTGGGTATGGTCGTTTTTTGCAATTTAGCGGGTGCGCGCAATTTTAAAGCTTGACATGTTTGGTGTCTATTTACCCGATGTGACCCCGACTTTTATATTTTACCAAAAAATTGAATAATAATAAATGTTTTATAACATAACGTAGGGAGAACAGGGGTTTTTTTTCAAAAATTTCGGTACTTTTTTCATTATATAGTGGTGATTAAATACCAGCAAAAGAAAGCTCTATCTGTCCCCAAAAAATGGTATAAAATTCATTTCAGTACAGCGTTGCATGACGGAATAAATGTCAGTCAAAGTACCGCAGCGATGAACACTGAAAAATGGCCTGGACAGGAAGGGGGTGTAAACACCGCGGTCAGCAAGTGGTTAATTGTGAAATTTTTTTATGGAAAGTCAATGCAAGCTAAGGTGCCCACACACCTTACAATTTATCTGCAGATTTTCTGTGGTCAGATGGAAAAAGTGCAACAGATTGGCCCAGGTGGAGATTACTCCATCCGCACAGTTTAGCATAGATGGAGGAATCTGTTGCACCTTTTCCATCTGACCACAGAAAATCTGCAGATAAATTGACACAGGATCAATGTGTCCAGGGATAGTGATTGATTCCTAACCTCATATCACATACAATTACATGCAGTATGCGAGTGTTCTGCTGCTTTCAAATGCGGCCGCTGTCAGCCGGTCATTGACTTGAATGGGTGACAGCTGCACCTGTAAACGGCAGATTAGGGATTCCTGCTGCAGGTAATAGCAAGTTCCTGATGCAGGTAACCCTAAATTGTACCTAAACTATAGGTGTGAATGAGGGTTTAGGGAGCAGCATCCATATAAGTGAATGGTACCTCAGCCCACTTAGTGCACGGTACCTCATTCTAGGTGTGCTGTGTAACAGTGTGCTCTGAATGCACTATAGCGTGAGTAGGCCTTTACTAAGCATTTGAAATTAGCTTAAAAACGTTTCGACTTTTATATCACTTTAACAACAGACAACAACAGTCTAGAGCAGGGGTTGTGAATTACAATACAAGGAGGTCTGGTGATTTAAATTTTTACTGAGCCGAGGTCCGAATCACAGTTTGGAGGGAACGGTCACTGAGTTTGAGTCCGTACCGTGGTTTGCCATTTAGGCTGCATTCATACCAGCAACTGCACTGCAACACACATCGGTAGGTGTTTGTTCCCAGGCACAGTGCTGATTGAAGAGCATCGCACTGTATATTTTTTGTTCGCATACTCTCGTTTACATACACAAGGATGCCTTATGCATACGTGTTTATTTAAAAGCTTTTAATTTTTGTTAGCACCTTTTTTTTTTTTTTTTAAATCACTTCAAGTTTTGCTATCACAAAAGGGCTAAAAATCCCCTATGCGACAGTATTTGCAGATGACAGATTCTTTTTATGAAGACATCAGGGGTCTATTAGGTCTCTGATCTCGCTCCTGCCCTCCAGTGCAGATGATCGAGCACAGGAATGTGCCTGATCGGTTTACCCCACACTTGAGCCGGCTTCTGACAGCTGAAGCAGGAAGTGCTGAGAGCACAAGGCTTCATGCTTTAGTGAGCACAGAGCAGACTGGAGAACAGGCGCTCCCTGGTCTGTTCCAACCCTCCATTCTGTCACTGTTTGTTGTGGTGCAGGAAGAGGGGGGGTGGGGGCACAACACCAGCTGTACAGCCACCCAGATCACTTGTAGCTGTAGCAGCCAGCCCTGCCTGATGTCATCGGTTGCTAGGATGTCAGCAGTCCTAGCAACCAATGACAGAAGCGGAGGTGGCACCTGCGCTGGGTTATGCCTGGAAGTGGATGCACCGACCTCGGAAGCCAGTGTATCCACTGTCAGCCAGTCATAACCCAGGTCAGGTCGGCAATCGCAGTCTGGACAGAAGCGCCACTCAGTCCGTGTCCAGACCACAGTCCTCCATTTAGTGACCCCTGGTCTAAAGTCTCTAGACAACTAGAAATAAAGTGGTAAAAGCAAATGCAGATGATTAATATGTTCAGAATCATTTATTTCTCCAGAAATGTGAACTGCACTTATTGCAGCCACATAGTAAAATAAAAGCAGCTACTTTAGAGTTCTCCGTGCCGCAGCCACATGCTGACATAAATGTAGCTACTTGAGTTTTCTCTGGTGTGTGTTCCCAGGCACAGTGCTGATTGAAGAGCATCGCACTGTGTATTTTTTGTTCGCTGTCCTCCCGTTTACATACGCAAGGATGACTTATGCATACGTGTTCATTTTAAAGTTTTTACTTTTCGTTAGCAACTTTTTTTTAAAAAAAATTCACTTCAAGTTTTGCTATCACAAAAGGGCCCGCAGGCCGCAGCCGAATGTCACTATGGCAGTCCCCCGTAACTAAAATGCTCACCTTGGCACTGTTGCGCAGTCCTACACGTACGACGTAATGACATCACAGATTTAGTTCTTCTCGCTGCAAGAGGCCCAACTACATTACCGTTATGTCTCTAAGGGCGGTTCCTCTCTAGCGTGGCGGCCATTACTCCAGAGACCATGCAATTGGCTGTGTTGTGACACAACACCGGGAAAACTAACAAGCTAATTCATACTGTAGAATCATAGTCCGATAAAACGTAAACTACACTAGCTTACCATGGATTCTCCTGTGGAGATGAGTCGAGGGGCAAACAGTATTGTACGCTGTTCTACTTCCATGTCATTTCTCCAGAAAGTGGACCTCGCTCTTGTGGACAGGGCCAATGTTTGTCCTAATCTGACCTGTCTATTGTCAGTCACGTGTGACTGCAATAGTGGATTTATAAATCTACATAATTTCTCTCTGATAATAAAACATTTTTAAAAATTCCAATGCTCTAAAGTCCAAGAGTTATGGGGAATAAAGTTAATTTTTGTTTTAATGATATGTATTCATATAATATATATGTAATTTATATAATATTTATAAAGTTAAGTGGAAGAGCAGTACTGTGTAAACTGTTCCCAGGACGATTACACATGAACGGCAAAACAAATGTAAATGTTTTCAAAACTCTATTTCTTCTAAACTTTCTTCTAAACTTCATTTATAATTAGCTGATGAAGGATGCAAAGCCCACATCATCTGACATTTATTTTCTATGTCATACCTTACATAAGGCTCCAGTCACAAAGCTTTAACAGCTACTTATTGTACTGTGCATTGGAGTGCACAGGTATCTACTGCTATTCGTATGTCTCCTGTCAGCATGTCACTGCTTTATACAACTGAGAGGCTGAAGCTGTCCAGAACCACCTGTCATACCAGCCACAGGAATCCGCTGCCAGATCTAATTAGCCTGTCTGGATGAGGCCTTTGGAGTGACACATGCAGCAGAAAAAAAAAACTGACAATGTTTATCGCCCCACACCAATCTATTCTAAAAGGAAAACAAGTGACTTCAGATACACTTTAAACCAGGGGTAGGCAACCTCGACGCTCTATTTGTGCTAAAACTTTAAATCCCATCAAGTCCCTGCCTGCGGGAGTCATGCCGTGGCTGTTAGAGTCTTGGAATGCCTCATGGGACTTTTAGTTCCACAGCAGCTGAAGTGCCAGGGTTGCCCATAACTGCTTTAATCATAGCCTGGTAGCCATGATTGCTATCCACATACATCCAAATTAATCCACTAACATTGAATCTGCATTGGGGGGTTGAAAAGGAGCAGCAATATTTTGCTTTTACGCCATGATGACACAGACATAAAGTAAAGGTTGTTTGCAATTTACACAACAACAACAACAACAACAACATCTACCTTTGCGGTGCCCTTGTACTTTTGCTATTATTGTCATTTGGTTTATAGTATATCATCTACATTATGTCTATATTTTTGTTTGAAAACTTAATAAAACTTTGCAATTGAAAATGAGCAGCAACAAATGAGACACAATCAGACCAATTCTTGACTATGATGTCACCAACTAATCTAATCAACAGTGTAATTATAGATGGAGCAGACCAATGTGATATGAGGCCAAAGATTAGGGGGCAGGAGTACTGTCTGATCAATATAAACTTTCACAGGTAAAAGCATGTCAACAACATATATCAACACACAATGGAAACATGCATTGACGCATGACAACGTACCTACTGACTGCTACAAAAAATGCACCTCTATGCACATGCATTAATTTAACTGGGCCCTTAGGCTTTCATTTCATTAGGACCCTTCTGTTTAGAGCAGAACGGATCGGATGGCACCGCTGTGACATCACTGTCCATCCAGTTTTTTCCCTCCATCTTGCAATGGAGGAAAAAACTGAAATGAGCGGACCCCATGTCGGTCTATGGGGAAGCAGATGTAAATGGACATGTGTCCATTCACATCAGATGACCCCTGATCTGGTACAATCAGGTCTGGCAAAAGAGAACACTGTTTCCTTCATTTTTCCAGACCTGGCCAGAATCAGGGGCAACCGGACACATATGCATTTAGAGTGGGTGCCCATAGACTTGCATCCGATTGGACCACATGAAAAACTGAGGAAAGAGGGCCTTAAAGTGCAACAGAAGCCTAAACTTTATTTTTGGATAGTGTGGGGAGGGATTAGAACACCTGCCATGTTTCTGTTGCCATCTGTGTCCCCCATTAGGCCCCTTTCACATGGCCTGATCAGGAGGGAATCCGTGCGTGGATCCCCTCCAGATCGGAGCAGTAAGGATTGGATATCACTGTTATTTCTATAGGTTGGACTCGGTTTTTTTTAACCAGACTAACTATGTAACTATGTGGTGACATCATTTTTAGATTGTAAGCCCTCAGGGGCAGGGCCCTCCTTACCATCTTGTCTTGATTTGTATTGTGATTGTAATGTCTTCCCTATATTGTAAAGCGCTGCGCAAACTGTTGGCGCTATATAAATCCGGTATAATAATAATAATCTGAGTCCATCTAGTTTTTTCCTCCATCTTGCAATCGAGGAAAAAACAGAAGTGACCAGACCCCATGTTGATCTATGGCGAATCAGATGTAAAGAGACATGCCTGTTCAGGTCCGTTGAAATAGAACACTGTTCTGTTTCTTTTTCAAGGTCTGGCCATTGTGGAGGGTAACCAGGTGTAAACTGAAGCCAGTCTGTTTATACCCAGCTGCCCATAAACTAGCATTGCGCACCCGATCGAGTTGAAAAACTGACAGGTTGACCCGATCGGACTTCCTGTCTGAAAGAGGCCTTAAAGTACAATTAAAGTCTCTTATTTTTTGGCATACATCTACTGCTAGCAAGCAGTAAATGTATGCCCCATGATTAATTAAAACAAATACGGAAATACCTAATTGATGTCCGTGGGACACGAGGAGTCTGCGGTGGATTAGAGAGCAGCACCAGCACTGGAGGGACTGACTGAAACAAGTGGAAGGAAGAAGATAATCGGATCAAGAGGCTGCCGTGACAGGATCGAGAGGTGAGGGAACCCGGTATGTGTTCGCTCACCTCCCGATCTACTGAGCTGACCTGTGACAGTCTCATTGTCACAGGTCGGCTTAGAACTATGAGGTGAGTGGAAATCACTAATCTCATAGTTCTCCTTTAAGTAAGTGCTTACAGCAAAAAGGAGGGGGGGGATTTTTTTTACCTTTAATGTCACTTTAAGGAGATTTACCTTTTATATATGACAGGGATATAACTCTATAACTTCAGTCCTACTTACAATTAGAGATGCCCAGTTCATGAACGAATCGTTCTTTTGAATCGATTCTATTCACTGAACTGGTGGAGTCGATTCACCTGATTGAGCTGATCCGTTTGCAGCAGCTCGGTGTGACGTATTGCAGAGACTCTAGCTAGCTAGCTTGTAATATGACCCTAGAGTGAATGCCAGGCTTCTGCCAGCCCCTCCCCTCCCAGCCCACCCCTGCAACCAATCACATCCGAGTCACAGTACACAGAGTCTAATCATATGAGTTTAGTATACGACCATCGCAAGACAAAAGTCTTGCGATGGTCGTAAGGTGTATGGGCACCTTAAGAATAGAAAGAATCTACTAGTTAAAATAATCGAATTTCTGAATCAGAGTCCTCTATGAAGGTTCAGACAGCTCCTGAGCTTCGGTTCACTTGCTTGTCAGCCGCCTCAGCAAGGGAATCGAAGATTCGATTCATGAATCGTTTTTTTTGAATGAACTGATTCAAATGAACCGATTCATTTAAAAGATCCGAACTTTCAATGAATTCTTTTGGGAAGCATAGAATTAAGAGGGAGTGACAGGATGGGAGGGGAAGGATTTGATGGGACCTGTCAGGTCCACACATGCGTACACCTTTCTCCACCTGATCACTGCAGCAGATGCACACAGCTCTTGCCTTCTGATAGTAAGTTTGAGTTTTCCCTGGCTCTCTGCTTATTGTTAGTCTCTATCTAACTTCCATCATGTGGTCTACGGATCCAAGCTCATGGGGTGTATTTCCTAAAATATGACATACCGCCGTAGATTAGACAGTACTACGAATCGGATCCGATCACACAATTCTAAATGTCTTTATACACATTTCCATACAAGTTATACCGATAATTTTTATTCCTCAGCGAATTGGCCACGCAGGAATGAAGTCCGACTACCCTCCCCCCAACTCTTACAGTCTGTACCCTAGTACCCATAGAGTTAAATCCCTTCCCCCACCAGGATGTAGTCACGTGGAGCGTAGGCTCTCGCTGGTTGGCCGGCGGTGCGGTGACGTGTACTCTGTGTGTTTGTACGGCTGGAGAGACCCCCTGAGCTCCCAGTGTAAGGAATCCTCGGTGCAAGAACTTGGGGTCTCAGGCTCCTCTCTGTATAAACAACAACCATGGAGGCTCAGGACCCCGGCAGGTATGCCCAGAAACGAGCGGGGTTTCATTGTGTGTTTGCTGGGAGTATTTAATAGCGGCCTACAGAGAGGGTGCAGTGCGCATGTGCAGAGCCCCAGCCATTGTGTATAATGGAGGGAAGAAGTGGAGGGATGTAAAGCTGGCAGTACCATTCATTCACTTATAGGTTTTCTAATCAGGGTGGGTATAAAGCTGCCATCTGATCATATGAGATCGGTGCAGGGGGTGAAGATTGTCACTGACTATGCAGCCTGGTCTGACTTGAATTGATCAGAATGTAGCCTAACCCAGATATTGTCTAATACATTGTTATGTTACCCGGTCTAGAGAAGCTAGTGCTGTATTATTCAATTGCAGGACAGTGTGGACATCAGCAGGCACTAGACGCCTGGTTGTTTATGATCAGTGTAAACAGCTGTTGCCTTGATGAGCTACTGTAAGTAGTTTTCACATTTCCTCTGTACAAAACTGATTCACATGTTCCCCATCAATGGAGTAGTTTTACCCATATGCCATCTTACACCAGGTTAATTACAGTGATCTGGTTTTAGATGACATCACCGAAAGGCTGCATCTAATGCCCTTTATGTGTAATGCTCATAGTAAATGCTGGAGGACTCTCATGGAGCGCTGGCGCCCTGTGGAGGGTCAGGGAGCGCGGGCGCCCTACAGGTTTACTTGGCGACTCGTGGGTACACATAAGGCTAGTGGAGATCACTGCTATTACCTTTTTACTAATCAGGGCTCCTACTAAAGACTGCTGGAGTCTAAGGGCCACACAACGCGTACCAATGGGCTGCATGTGACCCTTGGGCCACACGTTGTACCCTATGGGTTTAGGTTCTATGAACAACGTTTTGTCTTTTAGCATTATAAAAAAAATAAACTGAGCTACAATCCAGATCTTTGATATCTCGATGCTAAATGGAATCGTAACTCTAAATAATGGCTTAAAAGTTGCACTTTAACAATCCTAATGGTTTCCATAGACAATGAAAATAGAAACTCACAGTTAGGTATAGCTTGACATCTGTGTGGATGTGTGTGTCAGGGTGAAATACACACAATTCAAGTACTGTCTACAGTCAGACTTGTAGTGGTGATCTCCTGAGGGATCACTATGACTATAAGGGCTTGTTCACAGATGTCTATTATGCTGTGTTTTTCTGCACACTACTGCATATGTATGTAACTGTTGCAAAGCTTTTAAACAATATGTACACTTTCATAGACTGTGCACTGATGCGTCACCCTCCATAAATTTACATGAACTGAGATCCGGCGTCCGTGGCTTTTGGGGATGATTTACATCCTGCACGCAACCCCTCTAATTGCCTGCACTTTAGAGCCCCATAGACTTCTGCGTGGGCTTTCTACCTCCATCTCAGCTGGGAGACAGTCCCCTATAGACTTCTACGCAGGTGCAGCAGGCAGTGACAGGAGTTGGCATGGGATGTAAACAATCCCCAGAGGCCACAGTGTTGGAGCTCAGTAAGTATAAATTTGCATAGGGGGAGCTCTGTAATGCTAGGCGGGGAGAAAGAATAATTTATTTCTATGAAGGTGCACTTGTGCTCTAAAACAAAAAAGACATTTCTAGTATGTGGATGTTCGATCTTAATATGAGTACTAACTGACCCTTTAAATCTGCTAGCAGGCTTTCAACAAGCTTCAGTAGTACTGAGGTCTACTAGCAGCTGGTTGAAAGTGACATTCAGCACTCGTATTTTAAATGTGACACTAAACTCAGGAGTTAAATCTTAAAAATACATTCAAGTACCTTTTAACTATTAACAAAAATGTATCTTATTTGTGTATCACTCGGCTGTAGATCCTCAAATCATCCCTGGATTCATGCTGGCACTGTCCTTCCTTCTGGAGGGTGACTACATCATAACTCGTGTCTAGTTTACTAATTTGTAATGTAATTGTAGTCCATCATGGGAGTGAACTTGGGGTGGTGGGTACATTACAACACACGGGGACCATGGTGAATAAAAGTAACCACCCTCCAGAAGGAAGGGCAGTGTCAGCACCAATTCAGAGATGATTTGAGGCTCTACAGCCGAGTGATACGCAAATAGGATATATTTTAGTTACTAGTTAAAGGAGATCTATGAGGCGAGTGAAAATCACTCAGCCTCATAGTTTGAGCCGACGTGGGACAATGAAACTGTCACACGTCTGCTCAATAGATCGGGAAGTGAGCGAACACATACCGTCGCTCACTCCTCGATCATGTCCCTGCAGAGAGCAGTGACTGTCACTCACAGCTCCCTGCACGGATTCCCCCCTCCCCGCTTTGATCTTCCAGCGCTGGCTGGAGGAATGAACGGGGGAGGGTACAGCTGGCTCTGCCTCTAGGTAGGCAGAGCCACCTGTCAATCTTGCAGCTGGGTGGATCTCGACAGTAATGTCGGGATCCGTCCCGGCTGCGGCGGTCTCCGTATACCGTGAGCTGTAGCTTGCGATATACTGAGCTTTGGGTCACAGGAAGACGCTAGTATATGTCCTCCCGTGACCCTGAGGAGAGCTATGGGGAAAAACACTTACCCCGTAGTTCTCCTTTAAGGTGCTTGAATGCATTTTTAACAATTAACTCCTGAGTTTAGTGTCACTGTAAGAATCCATTCAGACCACTTTGGTCCATTGCGGTGCGTGAATGGCACTGCCATGCACAAATGCATGTAATGGCTCCCTGGTGTGAATGAGCCCCAATATCTATGTTTAACCTCCCCGTACTGGAACTGAATAGTGCTTTAAAAGCTTCAACACAGCTCTGTGTTGGCATGCTGTTACTGGAACTGGAACTATTTCTGCTCATTCTACAAAACATTTTGGACGAAAACAAAAAAAAAACTTCAAGAAAGCTGTTCGAAGTTTACCGAAGTGGAACTTGCTGCTGAAGCTTGTTGTACACACTGCTCTTATACAAGCTGAAGCACGTGTGAACAAGGCCTTTGTGAAATAATTTCTACTAACTCTAGTTTTCCGCTGTAGCCAGTTGATTTTTGTAAGGATATCCTGTTGGTTTAGAAACCGCTACTGGGATTAGAAATTGTTAGAGGGGAGCGAAGAATAATTCTTGCATATCGACAGTCCAAATATAGCACGCAGCTGTAGCATTACTGACACTTTGTGTATTTGTGTTTTACACTTGTCTTCTTTTCAGTTATTACGCCTTCCAGCAAGCTCAGAGTTTTTATGGTTACCAGTACCATCAAATGATGAATGCTCCATCGAACATTGAATTGGGTAACGAGCAAAGGACTCTGCACACCCTAACAGGAGTCCCACAGCACGAGTTGCAGGCATTTTCTGGCATGCTAGGTAATGAGCATCAAATGCATCATGGTATGAATGGTATACCTGGCCCGGAACCCATGAAAATGCAGGCAACAGAAGCACCAGAGTTTCCACAGGAACCTACACAAGGTAAAACTGCTTCTTATATCCCCTTGAGTAGATATTGATTTAATTACAGTTTTTTTTTTTAAATTGTAAACTATGGCTTCACATTTACCATGACAAATAGAAAAAAGGAGGCCTGATATGATTGGTCTTGCACACATTTGTGTGTAACATGAGAACATTTTTTAACATGATCTGGCTATTAATAGAAGGTTGGCTTTGATAGGGAAATGCCAGGGTTAACCATGCATATTGAAATAATAGCAACAATCTTTACCATTGACAGCATGTTTGGAGAAAGAGTAACCATTGGTAGATGTGTGGACATACTTTAAAATGAAAACAGTAATGGCCCATTCACAACACAGAGCGCACGTTATTGTTCATTGTGAACGCACACTGCAGTCCATTGTGAAAACTTGCTTTTTATTTCTAACTTGCATGTGGTTCTGTTACACTGCAGTGCAGCAGCATGTCATAATGCGATATGCAAAATGTTCTACTCTTTTTCAGCATGCACCAACGCTGGTCCTTTGTGTAAACTGAAGCCATAGGACATAGGGCAACTTGCCTTGTTCTTGAACAGGGACCACAGTGGGCAATGCTGCTATGAACGAGCACTAAACAGATGAAGGCTCCCTGTCTGGGCAAGCAAGAGTCAACCAAAATGCTGTATGCAGCTTATGATCACCTAGTGGTCCTTATTTTGGGTAGTGACAGTGAGAGGCTTTAAAAGAAAGTTGAATAGAAATATGGGGGCTGCCACTGCTGAATTGTATTTTAAAGCTGTGGGGCTTTCATTCTCAGCTTTCTTGTACTACTAGGTTTGTCAATGACCAGGAACATGAATCTACATATAGTGCTGGGACACCTCACATGCACACATTTGTTCTGGTTCTACAGTAATAACTCCACTTTTTGTTTTTGTAAGCCGTCCCGGTTTCCACCCCACGTAGTATCACTGTCACACCAGGCTTTTTATATTGGCACATGAAACATACACACGGAACACACTCTTTTACATGGTAACTAACACATGCATTGCATTTTTGCTGTCACATGTTACAATCTGACCGTACCGTATCTGTACAATCAATTTTAGATCTACCAAACATATGTAATATGAGGCCGTACCTAATCTATCCAATCGATTTTTATCATGTCAGGCAGGTTCTTGCACTACATAGTTGTTGGTAGATCTAAAGGAGGTTGTGCAATCCGATTTGTAATGCATGTGGTGAGCTTAACAGGCATATGCACTCCCTTCAAGGGTATGTTCACAAGTATTATATTTGGTTTTTATATGCAAGTTTATGCATTTCCTCTCTGGTCAGCACCAGAGTATCTTCAGCACAGGAAACAAAGGGAAATCTTGAAAATGTAAACATACATCAATAAAAAGCTGATAAATATGGTATCTCTTTGTCAAAAGCAAGAAAAAAATGACTGGTGTTCCACTTTAAGGAGCACATACTACAGAGTTATTGTTCTGTAAGAACTTGCTTCAGGTTCCTCTTTTTCACGCTTTAGTGTATGAGCTCTAATTTTGGTTTCTTGTTCTTTCCACTTTTAACAAGAGGTCTTACAACAATCACAATGATAAACCAGGAAATGTGTATAAAAGAGTTGCCAATGCCCCTACATATAGAAAGCTATATGTAGTATTCTGGCATTTAGAAATAAAAATATAGAAGGTAACTTCTCAAACCTGGAGCAGACAGAATCTGGAGAACCAATCAGCTTCTCTCTTTAGTTCAGTTAAGCTTGAAAAATTAAGGAGAGAAGCTTATTGTTTACTATGGGCAACTGCTCCAGATTGTATTTGCTGTGATGTATTTCCAGTACCGAGATGTACGCAACCCTTTAGGATTTTTGAACTAATGTCTTGCTTTTTAATAATGCAGTCAATTATTGGGCTAACTCAGCCCATAATGTATTACTTTGTTACATGTATACAAATATCTCTGTTATATCTTGTTCAGAAGGTGCAACAAAGGGTAAAAGGAAAAGGGGTAAAGCTCCAGCTGAGCCTAAACCAAAGAAGAAGGAAACGGCGAAGAGTGCCAAGACCCCCAAATCAGGCAAGCAAGAGAAAATCACAGACACTTTCAAAGTGAAAAGGAAAGTGGACCGATTTAACGGGGTATCTGAAGCTGAACTCTTGACAAAAACTTTGCCAGATATCCTTACGTTTAACTTGGACATAGTTATTGTAAGTAAATCAAAGTCTGAAGTTATACAGCATCCTGTGGGCTGCTCACAATGTATTAATTGTGAACTTTTCATATGTCCTCTTCAGATTGGAATCAACCCAGGTCTTATGGCAGCTCACAAGGGCCATCATTATCCAGGTCCTGGAAACCATTTCTGTAAGTCAACTGCTGCATGTTTGTCATCTTTCATCTGTGTTGTGTCAGCAAATCTCTTATCAATGTTTAGCAACTTCTCTTTAAAACAGAAAAATGACTGTCCAGTCTTAATCACACAGTTCAAGTTTCCATTTCACAGGAAAATGGATTTGGTATCCAACTCCACAAAACGAAAGCATTTTGCTAGCTGATTAAGTGTCTCTATCCAAGTACCAAGAGGCTTATGAAGGCAGTCGTTTCCATGCTAAAGAATAACCAGACCATTGGCATAATGAAGCTTGTTTTAGAACAGCTTGTCACCAGCACACAATGCCCTTTCATAGACTTACTGGCTTACCCAGTGTTCCTTTTACACAATTATTTAAAACAACTACAAATGTATAGTTTAAGGGTACCTATAATCGGAGCTGCTTCTTGAGAAATTAGGCTTTAGGTAGATATCCTCTGCCATTGATTCCCTTGTTAAGAGTATAATCTGCTCCAGAGAGAAAAGCCAAATTCCCAACTTTTTCTTGTGAACCCAACTGCGATCCTAGCCTGCCTCTCAAGTCAGGATTGCGGTTTGGGTGAGTAACTCCTTCTTCCTTCTTTTTTTTTTTTTTTTTTTTTTTTTTTTTTACCCACTCACAAAAAGACACCCACAATCTCTTCAG